GGATGGTCTCGATCTCTTGACCTCGTGATCCACCCGCCTCGGCCTCCCAAAGTGCTGGGATTACAGGTGTGAGCCACCGGGCCCAGCAAGAGCCAAATTTCTCTTATCAACACTTAGAGCAAGGGTCCACTAACCTGGGGAGGAGACTGGTACATGTTGGGATTTACCAGAACTCCCAAAGGCTCTTCAGAAGATCTATCCAATTTGGTCAGTGTCTGATTCAAGGTTCCACTGGCAATGGCCTGTATTGTCTCATCTAGTCTGTGATAATAAACCAAAAGGATGCAACAATTGGTAATGTTCTATGCTCAGAATTTCCTTACCACCAACATAAAATGCTTTAATAGTAATAAAATTTGGAATATAAAGAGGAGTCTATGGATGACCTTCCCTACTCCCTACTCTAGCTTCCTGCTCCTCACACCAAAAACCCTAAGGAATATGAGTTAATCAATGTTAGAAAATACGAAGAAAATACACAGGGCACACTACAGTCATTTACCTGCTCAACAAGATCATTAAACATGCCAAGACCAGAAAAGCTGCCTAGAAGCCATGAGTGGTGGCTCATGCCTATAGTTCCAACACTATGGTAGGCCAAAGAGGGAGGATTGCTTGAGGCCAGAAGTTCAAGACCAGCCTGGGCAACATAGAGAGACCCTGGTTCTACAAAAAATACATGATCTGGGTATGGTGGCTCACACGTGTAGTCCTAGCTACTTAGGAGGATGAGATGGGAGGATAGTATGAGCCCAGAAGTTCAACGTGCCACTGCCCTCCAGCTTGGGCAACAGTCAATAAGGCCCTGTCACAAAAAGGAAAAAACAAAAAACTTGCCTAGGAATACCCTGACCCACATAAGAGTGTTCTATGTGAGCTCATCTTCTCAATGCAACCTATACGGTTATTCCTCTGCCTACTCAGCAGTCCCTTCACTCCTTCTTGCTGGTCTTCATTCTATCTTTGCTTGAAGGCTCATAAGCAATAAAGAGGTACCCTACTAGCCCAGCACAAAAATGCTTACTCCTTTCTCTAAGGTCCTATAGTATCTACTATCTAAACAATCATTGGATACATCCCATGTTATCCTGTGCCTATGGTGCTGGCATTGGATACATGGCTCTAAACCTATAAAATAATATAATGATTTTCATTTAAAGATTGTGAAAATCTAATGGTTAGTTGGTAAGAGATCATAAGCCCTGCAGGAACCCTATCTTATTTCATTCTATAGCTCTACAGTACTTGCTGCTGTATTCAATGCCCCTGTTGGATGCTTGACAAATGTTTGTGGATAACAATAATAATTCTGATGCACAACATAATGAAAATCTTCAACTAACAGGAAAGGCTAAACCTGACCTTCAATTCAATTCAAGATACGTTTGTTAGGAATCTCTTATATGTAAGATAGCTTAATGGGTGTGGAGGACATTGTTTCTGCCTTCAAGAGGCTTTGAATTCAAATGGCAGATTTAAGACAGCTATACAGATGATGAATCATATAGGAAAGGATATAATAATTACTATGAGACAGGCACAATCCGTTTGGTGGTTATTATCCCATCATCCAACATGTTGTATAAAGTAGGTTCAAGGGAAAGTTAAGCATGTGAAAGGCAAAGATTGGGGGAGGAATTTCCAAAACAAGGAAAAATCAGAAAAAAAGGCATGAAGCTTTTAAAAAGTACAAGAATTTGTAGGATGAGGTGAGTCTAAAATAAGGTGGGGACAGTGAGGTCTGAAAGAGAGAAATAGATTTGACACAGTATAGTGATAAGTATATTCAGAACTCTCGAATCTATAAAAGAAATAATTAAAAAGTGATGACTACATTTTTAGAACACTCAAACTTACTAGCATACAACTAAAGCAAAGGAATCTGAATAAAATTAGAATGAAATACCATTTTTCATGTGTCAGAATGACATCTTGTAAAAATTTTTGACAATGGAAAAGAAAACTGTTATCTTGATAGTTGGTGTGTAGCTGACAAGTCAAAAGAATGCACTATTTAAATGTTCTCTTCTAAAAAAATTGCACCTTTTTTGTTTATATGTTAATAGACTTTTTTTTTTTCAAGGTGTGGTCTCGCTATGTTGCCCAGGCTGGTCTTGAATTCCTGGCCTCAAGTGATCCTCCCATCTTGGCCTCTCAAAGTGCTGGGATTATAGGTATGAGTCACTGTGCCCAGCCTTAGGCTTTGTTTTTTAAAGCAGTTTCAGGTTCACAGCAAAATTGAGAGGAATGTAAAAAGGTTACCCACTTCCCCCAAGACCTCCCAAATACATATCCTCCCCCATTATTAGCATCCCTCACCAGAGTGGTACATTTGTAATGACTGATCAACTTCCATTGACAAATCATTATCACTCAAAAGCCATAGTTTACATCAGGGTTCACTCTTGGTATTGTATAATTTATGGGTTTGGACAAATTTATAATGACATGTATTTATCATTATAATTACATACTGAGCAGTTTCACTGCCTTAAAAATCTTCTCTGTGCTCCCTTTATTTATTCCTCCTTCTCTTCTAATCCCTGGAAACTACTAAATAGTTGGAATCATATAGCATGTAGGCTGCACCACTTTAATACTCCAATTCACAGTAAGAGAATATCCCCATTTTCCTATACCTACACAATATGCAATATTATATTTTAAAAAATTTAAGCCAAATTTGATGAGCCAAAAAAATTTGATATATTATGTTTTTCTTCTTTTTTTTTTTTTGAGATGGAGTTTTGCTCTTGTTACCCAGGCTGGAGTGCAATGGCACGATCTCGGCTCACTGCATCCTCCGCCTCCTCGGTTCAGGCAATTCTCCTGCCTCAGCCTCCTGAGTAGCTGGGATTACAGGCACGCGCCACCATGCCCAGCTAATTTTTTGTAGTTTTAGTAGAGACGGGGTTTCACCATGTTGACCAGGATGGTCTCGATCTCTTGACCTCGTGATCCACCCGCCTCGGCCTCCCAAAGTGCTGGGATTACAGGTGTGAGCCATCGCGCCCGGCCTGATATGTTTTTAAATCTGTATTTCCTGATTGCTAGTTGAACATCTTTTCAAATGTTATTGGCTATTTGTACTTCCCCAATTGTGTACCATCTGTTCTTACCTTTTGTCCATTTTTCTGCTGGAGTTTTTGGTCTTTTTCTTTTAATTTGCGAGAGTTCTTACTTATATAGTAGGAATATTGTTTATTTGACTGTTTAACCACTTAAAATATTTTCTTCCCACTTAGTACTGTCTTTTTACTTTATTTAAAATATCTTATATCTTCATGACTTCAAGATTTTGTATCTTGGTTAGGAATAGCTTTATCACACCAAGACTATAATTATATTCTCCTATAAGTCTGTATTTCTTTCTGATCCCTTTATATTGTTCATATTTAACTTTTTAGTGAAACTTATTATAGCATCATAGAATGTTTTGAGGTAGAGACAGATATACCCTAGATTTTTTTCTAAACAGGCAATGATCCCAAAATAACATATTTAATTCTTTCTTTAACGATTAAAAATGTTAGCTTTATTGATTATTAAACTCACATACATATATATATACACATCCACACATACACATGCAATTTAAACATACCAATCTCTTTCTGGATTCTGTTTCATTGATCTATTCCTGTGCCCAAACTATATCTCATTGTTTTAAAAATGGGTTTTTTTTTTTGCACTTTGGAACTTTAGAAGGCTGAGGCAGGCAGATTACTTGAGGTCAGGGGTTTGAGACCAGCTTGGCCAACATGATGAAAACCTGTCCCTACTAAAAATACAAAAATCAGCCAGGCATGGTGGTGGGTGCCTGTAATCCCAGCTACTCAGGATGTTGAGGCAAGAGAATCGCTTGAACCTGACAGGCGGAGCTGGCAGTGAGCCAAGATCATGCCACTGCACTCCAGCCTGGGCAAAAGAGCGAGACTCCATCTCAAAAAACAAAATGAGCAAACAAAAAAATCCAGTAATTATCTAGTAGAAGTGTTCATTTAAAATTTTTTCTTAGATATTTTTATATGTTTTCTATTGTAAACAAACACATTTTTAAAATCAACAAAAATAACAGATCCGCGAGAAAGGAAAAATCCTTTATGGTCAACCTATTCCTTCTTTGAGACCCTTTCTAGTGCTGCTCACTTACCTGCTATGATACTCTGCTAGTGAATTTTCTTCTTCCAGGATCTTCCTTCCTGCAAAGTCAATGGTGACCTTCTTAGAAAGTCGAGAGGCGTGTCGAAGTTCTCTTAGTTCCTCCTCTCGCTTCTGCAAGGTTTCCCGCTCAAGTTTGGACAACCACTGGTTAGAATCACTGGCAAAGTAATCTGATTCATCATCAATGACTTGAGTCCTTCGAATACTGAGAAAAAAGGAACACATGGCCATTAGGTCATCTGTTGACAAATAAGGACCAATTACTATAAAACTGTTTCAAGGTAGCTTACTATCTCAAATACAGATGCCCCAAAATATTCCAAAAGCAGCTCGAGCTCTGCATGTGTTTCAACTCCATTGTAGGCTCAGCTCCTAGAACTTATCTCAACTTCAGGCAAGAAAAAAAACAGCACCATTATCCACTGTCCTTCTATGTTTCTTATTAGTCCAGCCTCTACCTTCTGATAATTGGGCTTCAGCCTCGTTTTGCTGCATCTGAGTTCATGTTTGACGGCTTACTAAGTATCCTAGTTCCTCTGCAATTGGGATCCAGTCTATTCTTGCTAGGCTTTTTTGCTTATTGGAGTTTTAAGCTTAAGTCTCAGTTCT